CTCACCATCCTTCCTCACCTCTCACTCATATCCTTCCTCACCTCCCTCACACCTTCTTCACCCCTCACCTTCTTCACCCTCACTCATCCTTCCTCACCTCTCACTATCCTCTTCCTCACCTCCTCACTCATCCTTCCTCACCTCTCACCTTATCCCTTCATCGCCCTCACCATCCTTCCTCACCCTCACCATCCTTCATCGCCTCTACCATCCTTCCTCACCTCTCACTCATCCTTTCACCTCCTCACCATCCTTCATCGCCTCCTCACCATCCTTCACCTCTCACTGTCCTTCATCGCCCTCACCATCCTTCCTCACTCTATCCTTCCTCACCTCTCACTATCCTTCCTCACTCTCACTCATCCTTCCTCACCTCCTCACTATCCTCTCATCGCCCTCACTCATCCTTCCTCGCCTCCTCTATCCTTCCTCACCTCTCATCCTTCCTCACCTCTCACTATCCTTCCACACCTCTCACCATCCTTCATCGCCTCCTCACCATCCTTCATCCTCACCTCTCACTATCCTTCCTCACCCTCACTCATCCCTTCCTCACCCTCTCACCATCCTTCCTCACCTCTCACTCATCCTTCATCGCCTCCCACTATCCCTCCTCACCTCTCACCATCCTTCCTCACCCCCTCACCATCCTTCCCTCACCTCACCATCCTTCCTCACCTCCTCACCATCCTTCCTCCTCCTCACCATCCTTCATCCTCACCATCCTCCTCCTCATCATCCTTCCATCCTTCCATCGCCTCTCACCATCCTTCCTCACCTCCTCACTATCCTTCCTCACCTCTCACTATCCTTCCTCACCTCTCACTATCCTTCATCGCCTCTCACTATCCTTCCTCACCTCTCACTATCCTTCCTCACCTCTCACTATCCTTCCTCACCTCTCACTATCCTTCCTCACATCTCACTATCCTTCTTCGTGAAAAGCTTAAAGGTCAAGATCACAGAGGTCTATATACTGGTCCTATGGCTGGCAGTTGAGTTGTTGATGGTGGCTTTGGCGGACGCTCGCTGCCGGGTGTCTGCAGGTTGAAACTGTCGTGCTGCACAAGAGGGGCCGAGGATCTGCATTCACTGGATATTTTCTTTCTTTTGGTGCTATAGTAAGGAGCTGAAACAAGACCTCAAGATCACCAGTGGGTACAAGGGTGGTGAGCTGAGACAAGATCACCAGCAGCTGACACGAGTTTAACATTACTACCAACTGAGATTACCTAACTTAAGATTACCAACAGCTGAAAAGAACTTAAGATCACCAGCACCTGAGACTAACTTAAGATCACCAGCACCTGAGACTAACTTAAGATCACCAGCAGCTGAGACTAACTTAAGATCACCAGCAGCTGAAACTAACTTAAGATCACCAGCACCTGAGACTAACTTAAGATCACCAGCAGCACCTGAGACTAACTTAAGATCACCAGCACCTGAGACTAACTTAAGATCACCAGCAGCTGAAACTAACTTAAGATCACCAGCAGCTGAAACTAACTTAAGATCACCAGCACCTGAGACTAACTTAAGATCACCAGCACCTGAGACTAACTTAAGATCACCAGCACCTGAGACTAACTTAAGATCACCAGCAGCTGAAATTCGGATCAGAAGTGGGAAGGTGGGGAGTGGGGAGGGAAGGGGATGAATGTGGTCAGGCTCGGGAGTATGCAGGTCAGCTACCCGCGTCAGGCCAAGCTAGGTCACTGACACCTGACGACTCAAGCATTCAGTCCCCCTACACCTGTTGCTTGGTACGTGCCCCGAGGGAGGGTGAGGGAGACAGAGAGAGTAAGAAGTATGCAGGGAAGATAACGTATGATAAGGAAGGAAGAATGAGGGAGAAAGAGGAGGAAAGGAGAGAGGTAAGAGTATAAGTGATAAAAGGGGGTATTTAGAACCGAGAGTGAAAAAATGAGGGGGAAGGAAAAAGGAAGGAGAAGGAAAATAAGGAAAAGGGAAAGAATTAAGAGAGGGAGAGGCGATGGGGAAGGAGAATGGAAGGAGATGGAAAAGTAAGAGACAGAGGAAGAAATAGTCAAAGATGAAAGAATTACTGCAAGGATTAGAGGAAGACCATAGGGAAACAGGGGGAAGGAGGAGAGGAGGAGAAACAAGACGAATACAGAGAAAGCGAGAAGACGGGCTGGACCCTGAAGGTTTGAACGTCGCACAAGCACACCTGGTGACCAACTCCCCCCTTCAACACCCCCCCTGTACCCACTTTCTTACTTCCCCTCCCACATCAACCCTCCCACTTTCCTGGTTCTCCATCAGCAACCCTCCCAGCCTCCTACCGTCTCCAACTTCATCTTTCCTCTTCACGAGAACATCTTCCACACAACCAACTCCACGACGCAGAAGGCGCAGTAGGGAGGTGGACGTGAGGAGGAGTGGGCGTGTGGACAAAGGTGTAGTCATTAGCATACTGAGGTAAGGATGTGTGGACGGTCCTCTCCTGCATCTACTGGAGAGGAAAGGGGGGAGGAGGAGAAGCCTTCACCACACCTAAGACGAGTTTTGTCGGGAGGCGGGGTTCTGTATAGGGGGTGGTGCCTGTGCGGGGTGGGGCCTGTGCTGAGGGTGGGGCTTTTTGACGGGTTGGGGGCTTGTTGGGGGATGGAATCTTGGTGGGGCCTTTTTTTTACGTGCGGGGCGTTATTTAGGGGCGGGGCTTATTAAAGAGTGGAGCTTAATCAAGAGTGTGGCTTGTTGGATGTGGACCTTAATGAAGGGAGGGACTGGGATTTGTGAAAAATCAGAGCTTGTTGAGGAGCGGAACTTACTGAAGGGCGGAGCCTTAGAAGGGGCAGGATCCCTCTTGAGGGCGGACCTTGTTTATGGGCGGGTTGTTGTTAATGACAGAACTTGTTCAATCGTGTATCGGCATAGAAGTAAACTGGTCCCCTGTTGTTATAACGTAGACAGCAGTAGCCATTGTCTGTCTGACAGTGAAAGCACACATTGCACACACAAGGTCAAAATTATAATATTAGTTTTGTTTCTAGGTTTTGATGCCGAACATCTGGTAGTTGAATCAGCCAATGAGACGTAATCATTCTACCAATGGATACCTGTTGTGTATGTAAGACAATAGGCGGCGAATAAAACTCAGAGGCACCTATGAAGAATCGACACCCTGGCGGCTGTCCGGCGTAGAGAGATGAGAGCGGGATATTTCCTGGAACCTGTTTTATAATGGTGTGTCGACAATGACGGCGTGCGTCAGCATGTAAACAGTGTTTCTCCATTATCCACCTGCTTAATTATTATCAGTCTGTCTACATGTCCCTATCTCTTTCTCCTGTTATTTTTTGTTCTTTAGGTGATCTTGCTACTAAGGTTTTGTCTCCAGGTGGAATTAACAGAAACACGCCAAACATAATTTAACCTTCGACTGCCAAAGTGACTCAAGTCGCTCGATGTTACTGTTGCCTGTGTTGGTCATGTTACTTTGAGGTAATAATAACACTAAGTGTATCTAATGTTGATTTAAACTAGTTCCCTGGTGTCGGGCTGGCGATTGACGGTTCAGGTTAACTAATATCTTGTCAGTGAAAGAAAAAACGTGTTGTGTCCGCAAAAACGTAATTCTAAAAAATATGAATCATTCCAGATATTACGAACTTCGTAATTGTATGAAAAACATGATACATGGTGCTTAAAATAGTTTTAGGAGAGCGTTTATTGCTGCAGCATGTCTGATGGGAAGTCTTACTTGCTGATTTATAAATAATTTATTCTGCTGCATATATGATTGTTTTTCTTCTATTAATTTGGCATAAAAACCATTAATATCGTATAGATTTCCTGCTGTTAAGTATTTATTCTTCACATTATTTCAAAATGATGGAAAATAGTCGAAGATGTACTCCTGCACGATTCCTTCCCCGCGTCGCACTGCTTGACAACCCAACTACTCAGCGCTGTTGATCGGAAATCTATACCTGCTGCCCTTTTATCTCGACAACAGGGAACCAGTTTAGAGTAGTTGCTACGCCTAAGGAAACAAGCAATCATTGGGTATCAAGGTGATCCAGTAGCACAGGCTTGGCAGTAATGGAACCGAGTGTGTGCCCGTCAGTTAGTGCTAAAAGGATTGATCACTTGGTCCATTGGCATTAACCCCTTCACTACGGGGACGTCACCTTCAATACGCCAGCCTTTAATTCGGCACAGAGGGGATCCCGTACCCAACTCACCTCACATACTAGGGCACGAGAACAGGAAATACCGTCCATGTCGAGAGTTTAGTTCCACGCTTAGTTTTCTCATGGTGGTGTTTTCTAGCAGTTAAGGCTTTATATTCCGTCGGTTGATTGGTCGGAAAGTCTCTTTAAATTTTAACCTTTGAACCAATAAACCCTCGAACCAGTGAATCATCGGAACATGGAAAGAATCGCCTCAAGTTCCCAATTCTAAACAAACCTGCACGATTTTGTTAAGGTGATTATGAATCTGTAACATTACATAGCATAACCCATCATTAACCTTGGTGTGTAGAACAGCATCAGTTGATGGCGGGAACCTTTTCCCGAGTTTAGTTTTTTGGCGGCGCCATCAACCATTTTTTGCATAACGCAATTATTGTTCTATTTTTAGTAATATACATTTACTGTGCAGACAGTATCTCCCAACTCCTTGTAAATAACACCCAGGAAAGTCATGTGATGAGAGCATTATAACACGGAGGGACAAATACTCGTTCACATAATCATTGTAATCCTGACGCGGCAGTGCACGGTTTTTCAGTTTGAATCGGCCCGTGCACGGCATCCGCACCTCCCTGTGTTTATCTCGTAATTAATCTGAATCTCACTGAGTGATTTATTTTCTACATAACCTAGACTAAGTTTCTCTCGCCCTAATAATACGCAAATGAGAATTACCAAAGGAAAGTATCCGGTGGTTAAGGTACTGAGCCGGGAGCCAGGCAGGTCATGCCTTCGTCCTGGCGCGCGACAAAACCCAGGCGAGTGAGAGAAGCGTGGTTAGTAGTGCCCGTGTCGTGGTGGTGGTGATTCCTCCTCCTATTGCTCCTCATTTTGAGTGTTCACACTGCATTGTACATTTTGTGCTCAACCTTCCCACTATACCAGTACTGGTGTTCCAGGAGTGTTAAGACTGCGTTAAACTTTATTGTACCTGTGCTTGTGGTTCCAGAAAAGTTCATACTGCTTTCAACCTGTAAGCTGAACCTTCCTGCACTGAGAGTACCTGTGGATGTTGTAAATAACTAAAGTGTTAAAACTAACTGTATTGTGGATGTTAGCGGTGAATGGTTGTGTCGCAGATACCTGGCGGGATTAATCCTCTCACCACGGGTGGAGTGAGGTCTGTTACAGCACCAGCAACCTTGAGCAACCAGCACACCTCTTTAACAAGTTTAAGGACACTAACTCATGAAAAAGTGATACGGAAATAAGCTTATCGTTACACCACTATATTGATCGTTGTAGCCCCGTCAGCTCTACCTGACATACCTGAATAATAATGGGAGGAAGAAGATAGTGGTGGCCGACAGTGAAGATTCTGGAGACCAGGACCAGTAGTTTCCACGTGTGTTGCGCCTCAACACACACACACACACACACACACCAGGTAAGACGAAGTTCCAGGTTTGTATCTTACTGAGGACATTGTGTTTGGAGGGTCCGGAGCCAATTCAAAACTGGGTTAGGACAGGTTATTAATCTGAGTTCTCAGAAATGCATTTACTCTAGATTCGGGGTTTGATTCCTGGACCTCCAGGTATTACGACCCTATTGGATCCAAATTGGGTGAAGTTATGTTATTTGTGTGATCCTCGGAGTTCCTGCCTCTGTAGACCAGAATCGGAATTTAAAACCTGTTATTGGAACGTCCACAGTTAGGCTGTGTCCCCTGGGGTGGGGTAGGGGGGTACACGAGCTGTGGCAACAATTTTGGATGCTTTAGCTCAGTGCCGCACATGACTGATAATGTCTTTTGTGTGTTTGGATTCTTTTTATTTCTAGTACAGCGTGACGCAGCTGCTGGCATATTCTTGATCGCCTTGTTTCATCCAGTGCAGAAAAACATAAATCATAATCACTAAAATACCCCAAGATCCTTCATTTTATATATATATATATATATATATATATATAATTTTTTTTTGGGGGTGGGGAGGGGGAGAAGAAATGAAGTAAACCATAAAAGCAAAAAAGTTTTCATCATGCCGTTAGACGCCTCTCGGCGAGACATGCATGTTGCCACTAACCTGTTTCTCTCGCTCCCAGCTGTCTCTGGGCCGTCTTGTCTCCCTATTAACTAATCAAAAAAGTTCCTAGCCATAAAATGCTTCAGTAACGGTTGCCATTTAAGGTCATAATAATCGAAACTTAAATTAAAATGTTAAATACCATCTCCATCATTGTGTGTGTGTAAAGTGGGACACATAATACAAGACAAACTAACTTATTATATAAAGATGTGAATGGTATAAAATCAACAAGCTTATAGGTAACATATACCTGTATATTGCCCTCAAGGGGAGTAAGAATATGGAGGTGACATAATATGAAAAGTGAATACAAGATAGAATAATAATAGATAAGGTTAGTGCACACGGAGGCTGTAGCTTGTTGCAACAGATAGACAGTGTCAACACCGGCGTTGGGGTGGTCATGCACTTGACCAGGGCAGTGTTGGTGTGTGTGCTTGCTCGAGTGGCTGCTTGACTGACTGCTGAGCTGCGCAAGTAAACCATTGCCTGCTTGTTGCTTTCGCAGGCTCACTGCGTGTGTGGTTGATCTACTCAGTAGTTATTTACTGATTGACTGAGGCACTGCACAAGTAAATCAGATTCTGTTTGGTGTTTGCTTACAGTACTCACTAGCTGTCTGTATTAGTTGCAGCCGAATGGTTTGTTTGTCTAATTAATCGATTGTCTCAGCTAATGAGACAGTGCTTACCTGGTAATATTGGTATTACACATTTTAGAGTGAATTCTAAACTACTGTATAGTCTGTGCTTCTTAGCTCAGTGTTTGACTAGCCTGTGTCAGCTTGAGCCATCACTGAATCCTGTCACCGTATTAATATATATATTCTTAATACCAGTGACCTAGATATTTTATGATTCAAGACCAGAGAGGATTGGTCGTGGTGCAGAGCTGTAGTGATTATGCACTGTGCAGCATTGATAATTTGACAAGTATCTTATTGTCTTAACTCCTGCAGTACATAGTGGTGTTACCTGGGAATAATAACGTGAATAATATTAGAGGTGATTGAAACATGGCTGACTGAGAATCTTAGACACGAAAGGTTAACATTGTCAGCGACGACTACACCGGGTGTGTCGTGTGCTCCAACTCAACACTTGATCATGGAGACAGAATGATGCTCAGTGTGTCAATGATGTATTAAGACCATATCCTAGTCTCTCACTCTCACTTGTCAGCTATAGTTTTCCTCCTCCTCCTCCTCCTCCTCCTCCTCCTCCTCCTCTTCCTCCTCCTCCTCCTCCTCCTAAATCAAAGTAATGAGCTGCTATATCGTGATCGTCTGTAGCCCTGTCTGTTATCGAAGGTAAAAATGTACCTCGTAGTGAAAGACTCCACGTGTTTTATAGATGCAAATTACACTGAGGATCTGAGGAATACAAATGGTTGTCTGGGCGAGAAGAAGAAAAAACATGGCCGTTAAGCTTAAATGAGGGTTATTTGTAAACTCTTTAGATCTATAGCATGATGATTGACACCTGGACAAAAATTGGATCAAGTACACACCTTACCGTATTTACTACAAGTATTGCAACGGCGATACTGATTGGTTAATTAGATGGATCTCGGGATAGAGTTCAGCTTGTCTTAGCCACCTTGATTGCAAAGGAAATATTATGTATGCGAATAATCAGATAAAAAACATTAATAATACCTTATATTCGAGAGGGAAATCTATATTGTATCTTATTAAACAATGGCGGACTGCTAACATACGTCGGTCATATTGTTGCGTGACACATTGATTATATATTCATAGTATTATTTCACATTGATTGAAGAGATATCTTCGCCGCATCAGTGTTATTTCAGTGTTTGCCTGCTGGGAGACTATTATACACCAGTACTGTACCGGGAACCTGTCTAGTGTCTACCAGTACCGGGAACCTGTCTAGTTTCTCTCAGTGCCGGGAACCTGTCTAGTGTCTCTCAGTGCCGGGAACCTGTCTAGTTTCTACCAGTACCGGGAACCTGTCTAGTGTCTCTCAGTGCCGGGAACCTGTCGAGTTTCTACCAGTACCGGGAACCTGTCTAGTGTCTCTCAGTGCCGGGAACCTGTCTAGTCTAGTGTCTCTCAGTGCCGGGAACCTGTCTAGTTTCTACCAGTACCGGGAACCTGTCTAGTTTCTACCAGTACCGGGAACCTGTCTAGCGTCTACCAGTACTCGCCGGGAACCTGTCTAGTGTCGACCAGTACCGGGAACCTGTCTAGTGTCTACCAGTACCGGGAACCTGTCTAGTGTCTACCAGTACCGGGAACCTGTCTAGTGTCTCAGTGCCGCTAACCTGTCTAGTGTCGATTAGTACCGGGAACCTGTCTAGTGTCTACCAGTACCGGGAACCTGTCTAGTGTCTACCAGTACCGGGAACCTGTCTAGTGTCTACCAGTACCGGGAACCTGTCTAGTGTCGATCAGTACCGGGAACCTGTCTAGCGTCTACCTGATGCATGGGACGGAACTGAAACAGGGAAACAGTTCATCTCTGTTTCCCTGTTTCAGTTCCGTCCACGTCAGTCGTCTTGATACAATTTTGTGTTTGTTTGTAGTGACTCGTGTGTTTGTTTATAGTGACTCGTGTGTTTGTTTATAGTGACTCGTGTGTTTGTTTATAGTGACTCGTGTGTTTGTTTATTATGGCTCTTGTGTTTGTTTATAGTGACTCATATGATTGTTTTTCATCAAATTTCTAAAAGTTGCTCAGAAGTAACTTTAATAAGACCAGTAAAATAAGTCATTTCTTCTCTGCAACTATCCATTATAACACTTCGTTGGCCAATCGTTCTTGGGTAAATTAAGAAACAATTAGAAAATAGTCTCTTTTGTTGAGTAAAGAGAATTTAGTTTAGTTGATCCACTGAACCGTAGTACGAAAAACTCTACGGTGGAAACTATTAGCATTTTACTTGTCTTGCCCGCGCCAGTCATCACTAGTGTAGGCGTGAGTTTCCAACACTTGCAGGTCGCTGTGAGGGGCAGGCTGCTGTGAGGGGCAGGCCGCTAAAAGTTCTGTAGATGATTGGTCTTCGTAGGTGAGTATTTAAGAATGCATCTAACTGGCTGACTTAGGGTAAAACACAAAACTATCGTACTGAACTATTGCCACATACGTTGATATCTTCACTAATGCTAAAAGAATTCGTGTAGTTAAGGTTGTCTCAGTGTAATAATGGTGTTGTTTTTAGGGTTTATCTTTGTACTGTAGCTGAAGTCAACCAATCAGGTGCATTCTTACCTGTTTTACTTGCAAGAGAGTGGCTGTGAGAGTAAACATTTTTAATTTGTTTTTCTCTATACATCATTAAATCTGATTCTCGAAGGGTCGCACAGTACAGTACTTTGAATTTTCCTCGTAGCCGGAGATGTAGGAACACATCCACTTAGTTGGTTAACTACAGCCCAAACTTTATTTCTAATAGGGGCATTTAAATTCCTTTGAGACGCAACATTGACTAGACATGTTCCTTTAACGCCAAAATTAAGCTTCAAAATTCTTGTGGATTTAAACCCAAGACCCTGAAGTGGGTGATACATTCCCCTGCGTCTTGGCCGGTTCCCTGCCAGCACTGAAGACAAGCGCGGAGTGTGTGTAACCTAGATGGACTCCCTCGCGATGTCGCTGGCAAATTTACATATTCCACCAAACACAAATACCCACTTGCAAGGCTTGGTCAAATACACCGTGCTCAGGGTGAATGCTTAATCGCACGCAACAATTCATGCAAGTGCAACAATCAACATAA